CAAACAGAGATGGTCTGGTGGGAAATGTGGGGGTTGGGGGCAGTCTTGGCTGCAGTGACCATGAGATGTTGGAATTCACGATCCTGCGTGGAGGGAGCTGGGCAAGAAGTAGGAAAGCTACCCTGGACTTCAAGAGAGCCAACTTTGTCCTCTTCAGGGAACTCTTTGGAGCAGTCCCCTGGATCAGGGTCCTAGAAGGAAAGGGAGTCCAGAATTGCTGGCTAGTATTCAAGCGCCACTTCCTCCAAGCTCAGGATCAGTGCATTTCCACAAGAAAGAAGTCAAATAAGCAGGGCAGGAGACCTGTATGGATGGGCAAGTGCTGCTAAGCAAAGTTAATGAGGGAAAAAGAGYGTACAGCTTGTGGAAGAAGGGCCAGACCACGTGGGAAGAATATAAGCAGAATTGCCRGAGAATGCAGATGCAAAATGAGGAAGACCAAAGCCCGGGTGGAATTAGACTTGGTGAGGGATGTCAGGGACAACAGGAAGGGTTTCTATAAAYATGTCAGCAGCAAGAGGAAGACGAGGGAAAATGTTAGTGTGCTGCTGAATGGGGAGGGAGCCTTCATGATGGAGGATGCCAAGAAAGCAGAGTTACTAAATGCCTTCTTTGCCTCTATCTTTACTGMTAAGGCCACTCCCCATGAACTGCAGGGCTCAGATGAAAGAGATATAAATAGGTGAGAGGAAGACCTTCCGCTGGTTGAGAAGGATTGGGTTAGGGATCACTTAGACAAACTGGCYACTCAAAAACCTATGGGCCCAGATGGGATGCACCCAAGAGTGCTGAGGGAATTGGCTGAGGTTATTGCTCAGCCTCTCTCCATCATCTTTGAGAGGTCCTGGAGAGCAGGGGAGGTGCCCGAGGACTGGAAGAGAGTCAACATCACTCCAGTCTTCAAAAAGGGCAAGAGGGAGGAGCCGGGCACTTAMAGGCTGGTYAGCCTCACCTCYGTCYCTGGAAASGTGATGGAGCAGTTCATCCTAGAGAGAATCTCCAGGCATATGAAGAAGAAGAAGAAGGTGTTGAGGAGCAGTCAGCATGGATTCACCAGGGGGAAGTCATGTGTGATGAATTTTATGGCCTTCTATGATGGGATGACTAGCTGGCTGGATGAGGGGAGAGCCATGAATGTTGTCTACCTTGACTTAAGCAAGGCTTTCGACACCATCTCCCATACTATCCTCATACGGAAGCTCCAGGAGAGTAGTCTGGATGAGTGTACATTGAGGTGGATTGAGAACTGACTGGAAGGCAGAGCTCAGAGGGTGGTAATAAATGGAGCCGAGTCCAGTTAGAGGCTTGTGGAGTCCTCCAAGGGTCAGTACTGTTCAACTTGTTCATCAATGACATGGAGGAGGGCACGGAGTGCACCCTGAGTAAGTTTGCAGATGACACCAAGCTGGGTGGAGTGGCCRGCACTCCGGAGGGCTGTGCTGCCATYCAGAGGGAYCTGGACAGGTTGGTGACTTGGGCAGAGAGGAACCTCATGAGATTCAACAAGGACAAGTGCAGGGTCCTGCACCTGGGGAGGAATAACCCCAGGCACCAGTACAGATTACGGGTCGACCTGCCGGAAAGCAGCTCCACGGAGAGGGACCTGGGAGTCCTGGTTGACACCAAGTTAACATGAAGCAGCAGTGTGCCCTTGTGGCCAAGAAGGCCAATGGGATCCTGGCCTGCATCAGGAGAAATGTTGCCAGCAGCTCAAGGGAGGTGATTCTGCCCCTCTGCTCAGGTCTGGTGAGACCACACCTCGAGTACTGGTTGCAGTTCTGGGCTCCCCAGTATAAGTGGGATGTGGAGCTCCTAGATAGGGTCCAGTGGAGAGCAACTAAGATGCTTAAGGGAATGGAACATCTCTCATATGAAGAGAGACTGAGTGAACTGGGCCTGTTTTCTCTGGAGAAGAGAAGGCTGAGAGGGAATATGATTAACATGTATAAGTTCACGAAGGGGGAATGCAGGGAAGAAGGGGCCAAGCTCTTCTCATTTGTAGCCAGTGACAGGACAAGAGGAAATGGGTATAAGTTGAAACACAGGAAGTTCCATCTCTGTATGAGGAGGAACTTCTTTATTGTGAGGGTGACAGAGCAGTGGAACAGGCTGCCCAGGGAGGTTGAGGAGTCTCCTTCTCTGGAGGTCTTCAAAACCYRCCTGGAYRCYRCCCTGTGCCACATGCTCTAGGTGTYCCTGCTTGAGTGGGAAGGTTGGACTAGATGATCTCTAGAGGTCCCTTCCAACCTTGAATATTCTGTGATTCTGTGATTCTTATTTAATTCTTTTTATAAGTGGAGAAAAGTGAAGTACAAAGAAAAGTGAAGTGCCCAAGTTTATCTTCAAGTTCAACCTTCAAGATAAAATTGTCACATCTAGAGAGCACATTTTGAAGGATGCAGTGTAGTATTAGGCAAGCAGCTTAAAGCTCTCTTTTTTGTTCCATTACTTCAGGCACAGTACTGTCTCCAAAGCTGGTCAGACTTAAAGATTTTATCAAACTTCAAATCACTTGACTATAGTATAAATTTTACGTTTTTAAAACACCCCCAATGCAGTTTCACTTCTGTCTTAAATAATTAAGTAGATAATGGATTTCYGTAGCACAGCAATGCAAATCTATCGGGAACTTTTTGAGGCATTAATGACCATGGGCATAATCTACCCGTTGTTTTCTGTTGAAAGAGAAACATGTGACTTTGTCCTGAACAGTCGTGTCTTTTGCATGAATGTTGCAGACAATCCTAGTTTATTTGCTGACACACAAATGTGCTTTTTGTGAATATCTATATGAAATATGAATTATCTTGTTGCTTCTCCAAAGGCTATCTTCAAATTTGTTCACAACAAAAATGTTTCAGTTTCGCTCTCCAGATCTAATTCTGGAATTATTTCTATCATCTGCTGTAATGCATGAAATGTTATCCATTACAATCCACTGTGAATGAATCAGAAAGAACTTATGCATCTACTAGGGAAAATATTACAGGAGTTATTGCAATCTTTGCTGATAAATGCAAATCATTTTCATGTTCATGGCATGAGATACAAGGTATTTCTTTTTTATCATGTCTTTCATGTGGAATACTGTTGATGAAGTAACTGTCACAGACATGATTCACGGTGGGCTGTGATCAAGCCRAGAGAAATACTTAAATATTGACATAGCAGGTTATGTATTAGATCTTGAACATTGTGTTTGCTCTTTGTCCATTTTGTACTGAGCAAGTAGTCTCTAGATGCTATGTGTTATGCAGGCAGCATGTAATATATGTTACATATAGGAGATTAAATCATTTTTATAAGTCAAATGACTGCACATAGGAGAAAGGCCCAGCTCCTAGCTGCGCTTCTTTCAAGTAGCCTAGGTCTGTACTAAATACTGTGCACATATACATATAWACATATATCCTTTTGCATGGTGGTGTACAAATGAGTGCTGCATAAAGTTTATAAAGACATGTAGGATTCTTGAGCTTTGAAGACTTTGTATATTTGTCAATTATTGCTGTTTAAATCTAGAGACACAAAAATTGATTTTATTTTGATTTCAGTGGTTCTTTTGTCTTCTCAGTCTTGAGTGAACATGGAAACATTATACTTCAGACACTAAGACCTCTCTAGAAAAAGTGAGCGAGTAAATACTTTGATGACTCAGTCCTACTTTTCTGTCTTATTCTAATCAGGTTCTTCAAGTAGTCTAAGACCACAGTGGGTATCCAATTCATTCCTGAGGGAACTTTCCTCTCACTTTGAAACTCTTTTTTTCCCCCTTCCTTTGAGATTAAAAAGTCTGTTTTTTTCAACTCCTTATTCCGTAATTTCCTCAGCATTTTGAAAGACATCAGCAAATCAATTCATATGTCACAGATGAAATCTATGTACAGTTCTAAAATTGTGTTCAATAAAATATACAAATTCCAACAAAAAGCAAATGTACAGACTACATTGCTATTGAAAAATTTCTAGATATTTCCAGTCTTCTTTACCATTTCCTCAGATGTGTGATAAGTCCAAAAAGAATGTGTTTGAACAAAAAACATCTCAAACATCCCTGACTTCATATCTGTAATTCAAGATCTTTAGAGTTACTTGCTGTATGTTAAAAATCTTGGGTTTATATAAGCTAAATTCTTCACTGTTCTTCAGCGCAGTTCTCCTAAAGGGTATTCAATTGTTTCATTTTTTTAAGCTATAATGAAAAAGGAAACTATTTCATCACTATTAGGAAATGATGAAAAGTCAACCCAGAAGGGGGCAGATAGAGCTGACTCAGAGGAATACCCACACATTCATGTATAACTGAACATTGCCTGGATCAGAGCTTCTCCATGGATGTGTCTATCTGCTTGGGATTTGGACTCTTAGGCCTGTTAGGTGCTTTCAGAAGATACAGCAAGAGAGGGGAAGGTGATATGTGTGACTCAAAGACATGAATAACAAACAGATATTTTACATACTTTATTATCAATGAAAATACATCTAACAGACATAATTCCACTTACAACTTGCTTAGCTCCACTGTGGAGGAAGAAATCCTCCTCCATCTTTCTTCTTACTTGTTGAATAGATTTAACTAAGTAGGCAGTTAAAGTTACAGCACCTGACATGGTAAAAACATCTTAAATATTGCTTTTTATTCTTGTAAAGTAGAAGAAATGAAATAGAAGATAAGAATGGTCTTAAGAAGAACTTCAAGGAATAAAAGCCTTGCAGAATTGTAGAAAGTCTAGAAAAGTATTTCAATATTTTGTAAACCCTTACCTTAAATGATAAAATACAGTAGTGCTACACTCAAAGTGTATGTTGGAATAATTCATATAAAAAGGTATACCAATAAGGGTATTCTGCATCTTGCACATGTCAGTTTTTCTATTTGCATTGCTTCATTAAGCTCAAGGCACTTTTTTTTTTTTTTTATCTAGAGAATGCTAAAAATGCATGACTACTAAGACAAATATGAAAATAGTATTAAAATCAACATACTGAAATCTCCATTATCAGGTATCTTCAGGGCATAGACCAGAAGCTAGTATAACATTGTCCACTCCAATTTCTCCAGTTTTGCCTTTCCCACGTTCTGATTCAAAAGTGATCTGTCATAAGAAAAGATGGAAATGTAATTTATCCAACCATTTAGAAACTCTTAATCTTAATTAGCTATAATGCTACCTCTAAGGAATGTTTTATCAAAATATAGAAAATACCTAATGACTTAAATCCTTGAAGTTTTTATAATTTCATTTTAATACTAGAACTAGTCTGATAATCCTCTACACAGATTTACTATACCAAATGGATTCCTTTAATAGGATTACTTTATTGTAATTATACAAAGAAAATGTAAATTGAGTGAAATCTTATTACACAGCTATGCCACAGAATGTGATGTTTGTGCATTCTTTTCCTCAGAGACATTGCAACTGTCCATTTTCCAGCTATTTTGAGACTTAGTTTTTGTATGTTGTATATACTGTATATTCATTTTTATGACTAGGATGTCCAAGCTTTTAGTTTACACTCTGATTCTTGTTTGTGAAAGAGCTCTTGTACATCATTTTAGCAGTGGAAAGAACCTTATAAAGGGCTTGTATTATACGCACGGTAGAACCCTTTACAGTAAAAATGTACATTCATATTAATGAAAACCAGGCCCTAGAATTTTAAGGAGAAACTTGCTGATTGAGCCCTGATTGACGCAGTTTTCAGACATTTAAGAGTCTACAGCACAGTCTAAGAGTTATCTGTTGATTAGCACCTCATGCTGAATCTAGATTGTTTGGCCATCTTTGTTTGTAACTGATATCTCCTTTTCACTAATGGTCTGGTTTTGTGAAGTTTGAGAGTACTCTGTTGCATGAAACAGCTATCATTTTTATCCTTCCTGGCATAGATTTATGCTTTTTGTTGCATGAGCTATTAAGCAGAGATTTTAATTGATTGTTTCTATTTATGATCTGATGCAGTTTTTACAAAATAGGGTTATTAGTATCAGTGTCTTGGCCAACTGGGGTAATTCAGTTCTGAAATTTCAATTGGATAATATTTCTGCCTCCTTAGAACTATGTTCTTGTTTTTCATTTCAGATAAGGCTTCCAATTGCCAGCACTTCTACTGTCCAAGAAACTCTTAAGTGTTAGGAAATTAAGCTGCTGTTGTGTTGTGGTGTTGTGTTGGTTGTGGTAGTTGGCTTGTAAATTGTTGTGTACTTACGCTGTTTGTTGTTTCAGCTCCCTGAAATATTTCTATTTTTCCAGTTCTCCACCTTTCATCTTTTCCTTTGCTTTCCTCCCAGACAGGAGCAGTTTTTTTGCTGACCAGGAAGACTCGAAGTTTCCCCACTTTCTCACCAGCAAGACGATAGCTGAAAATCAAGCAGTAGCTACTTCTTGGTTTGAGGTCAGTAAGGAGAAGTTTTAGTCGGCCCATATCCTTCTTGTGACCCACAAAGGCTGGAACTGCCATGTAGTAACCATCACCTTGTAATAAAAAACATTTAAAAAGAAGGAAAAAGCTTTTTGGACTTGTGTTATTTATTGGTAAATTAAACACAATTTTCATAAGAAAACAAGGGGAATCTAACTCTGTTACTTGAATAATTTAAAATCAAGCTGGAGAAAAGCAGCAGGGAGGATCCCTCATAAGGAATGAGCTTGCACTGTTTGAAGATAAATCATTTTGCAGAGGAGATGAATTCATATTTCGTTAGCAATTACAGTATTTCTTCCTAATTACCCATATCTTTCAAAGACAAAATCATCTCAGTTTTTCAAATGTAAGAGCCTGAAATTTGCTGTTGAGCCTTTATGGTCAGACTGTTTCAAATACTTCTGTCAAGCTCGCTCAAGTCTCTCTCCACTGCCTCCACACAGCAATGACAAGCTCATGAAGGAGCTGACCATTTACGACCCAAATCCAACAGGTTCAGTCAGACAAGGAAGACACAGAGTAGGACAATGAGATAAAATATGTGGGCCAATACATGAAGTCATAATCAGCAAATCCAAGTTGGGGGGAATGGTGAAAGGCTTCAGAAGTGACAGGACAGAGACGGGTCTTGGGGAAAAGGAAAAATACAGAGCAGGAGAGGGAGGAGTAGTGAAGACTGTGACGGAAGAGGGAGACAATGTGTACGTAAGAAATGGAACAAGCGGTCTGCAGGATCCACTGGTCCTTTCTGGTCCCTTCCACATCATTTTCCATATCACAACAGAAAATACATCCTTTGAAACACATTTCTTCAGTCACACCATTTTAAAAACACCAGCACAGTAATCACACGTGGATCCATTCATGGAGCATTTTGTCAGCCCTGCTGCTGTAATATTCAGTTACTGGTGGTTCCTCAATGTTGCCCTCCCTTGGCCCACTCAAAGTAATGACTTCTTTAACTTCCAGGCTTTGACATTTCTGATCATTTACCACCCTGCTATGTCTAAACCATGTGAATAACTACCAGCTTGCCACATCCCTCCAAGGAGGACAGATACGTTGTTAAATGCTCTATCAGTCTTAGAGGCTTAACACATAACACTACTAAGATTTCTGTTGCTTTATATTTTTCAGTTCTTATAAGTTTTTTCTAATCCCTTTTTCTCATCTTTTCATTCATTTGTGCTGAATTATATTGCTGAGTAGCAATTGCTAAGGGTGTTTCAAAGAAACAATCTTCATCCCATCTTCTCTTCCTTCTTCTATGATTATTGCTTTTCTAAAGATAACTTGCTGATAGGAAACCTAATTGCTGTTTCCATTCTGCCCTCCCTCCCCYTCTTCTTAGAGGCACTGAACCATCAAATTAAACCACAGCTAGAAAAGCTATCAAATTAAACCATAGCTAGAAGACAGATATTTAAATACCACTATCTCGATCAGCAAGATTCCAGTCAAAGTCATCATCAGTATCTTGTTTCCAGTCGCAGACCCCGTGACTGAAGCTGCAGTCAACTGGAATAAAATAAAATAAAATAAAATAAAATAAAATAAAATAAAATAAAATAAAATAAAATAAAATAATAAAATAAAATAAAATAATAAAATAAAATAAAATAAAATAAAATAAAATAAAATAAAATAAAATAAAATAAAATAAAATAAAAGCACAGAGATAAGAGCAGCAAGATATAAGTACTGAATAATAATAACAAAAAAAAGATTTTATTAATCTAGCTATGAAAGTGTAGATCATTCTAAAAGTATCCAGCATGTGAGTCACATTGTGGTCACTAAGGTACATTAAATTTCCAAAAAACACCACATTGGAATTAGTGAAGTATTTGGTGAAGCTAAGTATTCTTAACTCAGCAAAATCTATTGTCCCTTTTTATTCCCAGTCCTTCACCAATGTATGACTTCATATTCTATATTTCATTTGAATTTTACGTATGTATTTTATATGTATGTATTTTATACGTATGTATTTTATATTTTGTATTCATTTTTTGTTTTGTACGCTGGATGTCTGCTGAYTGTTAGGTGAAGCTTGTCAGTTTGGGACCTCCAACACAGAAAATGGTTAGGGATGTGCCAGGTTTAGAGGCTTCCTCTGTGCATACGTTATCCTGCTGTAGCTGTAATGAGCTGAGGTGCTCAAGTCCATTCTTTCTGTTTAAAGGGAGAGACAGGCCTAACTACAAGAGGTATCCTTTAACTTCAGCACTTGATACTCAAATGACATGAAACTGGGAATAGCCCAAATCATTTAAGCGTTAGAGCACTCTGCAAGACACTGGTTATCCAGAGGGCATCACAATTGTGAAATGAAAGGCATTATATATAAAGAAATTATCACTGTGTAACACAAGCACAATAGCTCAAATTAAGAATTATATAACAGCCGTCTGAACTTCATTAGAAAGACACAGTCATATTGTTCTTTTAATATATTTGTCATGAGACAGAAAAGTGCAATATGGCATTTAGAGAGCATTACTCTTACACAAATTACACTTTGTTTCCAAGAATACAGATCTCCRGATGGAAAAATATATTTCATACTTACTGTTAACTAGTATATTTTTATGTTTTGTATTTTTAAGATCTGTAATTATCTATGGATGATTTGGGGGTGAAACACACTTTTGCCCCGAAAAGCACCCCAGTTACAGTTAATTCCAATCCTTCAGCAGCTGCTCCCTAGCTGACAAATCCACAGGAGAAAACTGTTGCTCCACACATCACAGAATATCACAGAATCACAGAATGTTCAAGCTTGGAAGGGACCTCTAGAGATCATCTAGTCCAACCTTCCCACTCAAGCAGGGACACCTAGAGCATGTGGCACAGGGTAGTGTCCAGGTAGGTTTTGAAGACCTCCAGAGAAGGAGACTCCTCAACCTCCCTGGGCAGCCTGTTCCACTGCTCTGTCACCCTCACAATAAAGAAGTTCCTCCTCATACAGAGATGGAACTTCCTGTGTTTCAACTTATACCCATTTCCTCTTGTCCTGTCACTGGCTACAAATGAGAAGAGCTTGGCCCCTTCTTCCCTGCATTCCCCCTTCGTGAACTTATACATGTTAATCATATTCCCTCTCAGCCTTCTCTTCTCCAGAGAAAACAGGCCCAGTTCACTCAGTCTCTCTTCATATGAGAGATGTTCCATTCCCTTAAGCATCTTAGTTGCTCTCCGCTTGGACCCTCTCAAGAAGCTCCACGTCCCTCTTATACTGGGGAGCCCAGAACTGCAACCAGTACTCGAGGTGTGGTCTCACCAGACCTGAGCAGAGGGGCAGAATCACCTCCCTTGAGCTGCTGGCAACATTCCTCCTGATGCAG